CGAAGATAGACCCAAGCGATGAGTCTGGGATGAAACTACAGAACGTCAATGGAGAGATTGAGTTTCGGCACGTTAGCTTTAAGTACCCATCTAGGCCAGATGTTCAGATTTTGCAAGACCTCAGCTTGACCATTCCTTGGGGCAAGGTAAAGTTTAGTCATTACATTTATTTTGTTTTTCTAGTTCCAATTTTTAAGGAAAATGTAGTGTTTGTGTCATCATACATACAACTAAGTGATCAGCTCTTTGGATTTCGTCTTTCAGACAGTCGCTCTGGTTGGGGAAAGTGGATGTGGAAAATCAACAGTTATCTCATTAATGCAAAGATTTTACGATCCTGATTCAGGTCATATTTTGCTTGATGGAATTGACATTCAGAAGCTCCAGTTGAAGTCGTTGAGGCAGCAGATGGGTCTTGTGAGCCAAGAACCTGTCTTGTTTAACGATACAATACGTGCAAACATCGCATACGGAAAAGAAGGAAATGCTAGTGAGGCAGAAATTTTAGCTGCATCAGAGTTGGCAAATGCCCACAATTTCATTAGTGGGTTACAACAGGTTACAACACTCTAAATCTGTTGAAATTAATTAATTGATCAAGCTTCATGTTGCTGTCAATTGAATACATACTAAATAGTTGTGGTACACAAAAGGAACTGAAACTTTTGATAGGATGTGTGAAGCCTGTACACCTTAGCACACTTTATGTAGCCCTAATTCTATAAGGATATAGTAGGGGGCGTTTTTCATCATTCTAAGCACTCCATGATTTTTGTTCTTCATCATAGTGAACTCTCTGACTCTGTAGACTTAGCTCTAGTTTTGGATGAACAATGTAAATCTGTGTGTTCTTGCTTGTTTTTTTGTTTCGACAACTTTTTGTTCCATAACTTTCTGTATTGGCCTTAATTGATGAGTTGAAATAAATTGCTAGGATACTGACTACTTTTAATGCAGGGGTATGATACGATAGTAGGAGAGCGAGGAGTCTAATTATTAGGCGGGCAGAAGCAGCGTGTGGCTATTGCACGGGCTATATTGAAAAGTCCAAAGATACTACTGCTGGATGAGGCTACTAGTGCACTGGATGCTGATTCGGAGAGAGTGGTTCAAGATGCATTAGACCGAGTCATGGTGAACCGAACTACAGTGGTGGTAGCACATCGATTGTCCACCATCAAGAATGCGGATGTTATTCTGGTGGTTAGAAATAGAGTCATCGTGGAGAATGGGAAACACGATGCTCTGATCAATATTAAGGATGGTTTCTATGCCTCCTTGGTAGCACTACACGAGTGTTTCATCTTAGTAATGTTTTCTTCTTCTTGTATTTTTTGCGTTTTCATTTCTTCAAAATATTTTTTGAACAATTGCGATTATGTTGTGATGATAATCATGATACTGCTATGAATATAAGTTGTTTTTAGATTTTACTTACCAGGAAAAAAAAAAAAATTTGTTTTACAATTTTGATACATATGAACTGGACTAATAAAGGACACAAAGAAGATGAGGAGCGTTACAAAGCTCATACCAAAAGATGATGATATTTGATGGCAAGTTCATTATTACATGTTGTATCAATAATTTTTTTTAGACAATAAATATGCGTGTTTGTATAGAGACTTGTACATATATACATCCGTTTTGCCATGTTTTTTTTTTCTTAAATTTGGTTCCCTGGGCTAATCTATATTCATGTTAAAAATGACCCGTTAAAGTATTATTATTACTTTTTTTTCCCCAATAAACAACACACAAAACACTACAGATAACCAGCACATCAAGAGACTCTCCTCAAAATGAGCAACATCCTGCTAAGGTCAGCCGGTTATACCGACTGGCAATATGGACGTGGATTGCTAGCCATATCAGCAATTGTATAGTTATAGTGTATTGGTAGCGGATGGTCACGATATGGGTTAACTACTATTATCATTTTATTATTATTTTTATATATTTAATATTTTGATTTAAAAGAATTAAAAATATATTTATTTTTTTTATTTTGTGTTTTCTTCAATTGCTATTTTTCCAACCAGTTGAAAAAAAAATTATATTTGAATTGAACAATTTCTTTAACAAATTTGAGGGTTGCATAAATAAAAATATGTTACATATTTTTTCACAATTAAATAAATAAAATAAAAAAACATTACATAATTTATTCCCAATTACATAAATAAAATAAAAAAGACATGACATATTTTCTCACAATAAATAAAATAAAATAAACAATTGTTGCAAGTTGCATGTGAGACCGTCGAAGGCTGGCAATCAGTGTGTTAACGTATCACCAGCCATTTGATGGGGCCCGCATATTGCTATCCTTAGTTCCTTGCACCGTTTCAAATCTTGACAATACTAATTGCGAGTTGGCCCAAAAGCCTCTTATACTGGCTGCTCTGAACAAGGAGAGTATCCATCAGGATATGAGAAAAAGCAATATCCTGAAGGAGATGGCACGGAGAGAATTTGGCCACAGCATTGAACTCCTCGTTGTCATGTCTCCGCACATGGCTAAATGCGGAACGAGAGAGTTCTCTAAAACGCAATCCTAATATCAAAACCTAAAACTCCAATCTCCACATGACAAATATCTATAAACAACACAGCCTTGCAAACCATAGAAGAATCACTTTCAAACCAGCAATGATTAAAATTAAAAGTTATTAGCCCAAAGAATTTTTTTTTTATTTTTTATTTTTAAGTTAAAGCAATTACGCACACATTCTACTTCCACCGATATTTTGAACCCCCGACCTCCCCTTTGGAGGAAAAGGGGTAATACAGCTGGGCCATTTGCTTTGTGAAGACACGATGCTTCAGCCCAAAGATAACGTCTAATACTCCGTAGTATGAAAGTTTGATTAAATGTGTTTTGGCATATCGTGTCAAATTAAGATTTGATTGATATATTAAATAAGTTAAGCAAGTCGTATATGTATGAAATAATTGTATCGTGTTAAGTTGATCATGTAACAGGTCACATGACATGATCATCAACACTTTCTTTCTGATTTAATATATCGACTTACTTAAGAAAAATAAAAATAAAAAAAGAAATATCCCGATAAAAATAAAAAATGAAAAAAAAGGGGGCTTAAATCAACCTAGCAGCATGTCCCACCCATAGTTAGGTTGATCTCAGAGCTCCCAGTGCATCTGTATTCCAAAGATGTGCAAAGAGACTACCTGACAGATCACACAGAAATGCGAGAGAAAAATTCAATTCACTATATTTTGGTTGAATTGTTGGAATAATCGGACTAATGGTCACTCATTACACTCTAAGTGACGTAAGATTGCATGCCGACCAACAATATAAAATTCTTATAAAATTTATAAAAAAAAATAATAATAATAAAAACCAATCAATCTCTAGATTTCATTAGTGAATTTATATAAGAGACTAGTTGAGAAAGTTCAGTTTCAAGCAGCAGCAACATGCAACACTTCAAACGTCACTTCATACGTAATAGCATATGACATAACGGTTGAAAAAGTCAAGTTCAAAGCTCCAACATTTCAACAATTCATGGAAATTTTTTGTTTTTTGTATTTTTCTAGGTTTTCATTTCATCAAACAACCACTACAATTTTAGAATGCGTCCTTGTACATTAACATGCTATTTTATATAAAATTATTGTGGAACGATCCAAGTTCATCCCTAAATGCTTTTTGTTTAGAGATATATATGAAAATTACATAAACACTATAAGCCCAATATATTAATCTTGGATTAGAATAAAAATAAGCAAACGTACAACATGTACGAGTTTCAAAAACATGGCCATCTACCATGCCTCTTGAGGTTTTTCATCGTCAAGGTTTAATTAAGGAGATACATTTTCATTATCGACACAAACTGAATTGTTGATGAAAAATTTAAGTTTGGCACAATTAAAGCTTCACTTAGACTCAATTGAAAAATAAATCTTGAACAATCCATACTTCGACTCATTAGACTTGAATAACATATTTATAAACATTCGTGAATAAGTCCACCCGAAACTCGTGAATGTGACTCATTTTTTGAGACTAGTTTGGAGTGATAGTTATTGTTTTCCTTATTAATCTTAATATCAAGTACAAATTTTAGTTCAAGCTCAAGGATATGCCTGAAATAGACTAAATGAATCAAACAAACTACGTTCAAGGTTGGCATGTAATATCCGATCCAAGTTTGAACAATTATATTTGAACTTAACTCGAATCCGAAATGGAGCTCAAACTCAAATAATCAAAAGGTCGACTCAATACTTGATCTAGTTGCAACCTTATCTCTCAGTCTATTAAACAAGGCGAAAGATTCACTCAAAACAAAATATAATTAAGTTTGTCCCTCAAGAAGGAGAGTCGAAACAATTATCTCGTCACATTAGAAAAAGGCGATGATCAGTTACTCTCAATCATCGAACAAAATACATCTGATAATTTTATAGTATGATTGTCGAAAACATTCTTCTTAGAAAAATGACAAATAAACCTAATCAAACAATTGTCCTACTTGTTCTATTTTATGACAGGACAGACTTACCCTCAATCATCGAATAATTTGTATCTAAGAATTTATAGTCGGCGAGACAATTCGCGTCATTTTTCTCAAAAAAAAATAAAAATAACCCTAATCAAACAACTGTCTTACTTGTTGCATTTTATGGCTGGCGAGGCTTCGGCCTCTCCAATCAATTAGTTTGATCACTACAAACAGCACAACTTTCTTCTTAAAATGTTTCAAATTAGATTCATGACAAATCATTTAAGACAATCATGGAAATTAACTTTTAGTAGATGATCCGTAGATACAGAGAGTTTATACAAACAAGTTAGTTGACAACAACATACGCCGTTACGTAGATAAAAACACTAAAATAGTACAAAATCGAAACTATAAAAAAGTCCAACGCCAAGTCCAAGACACTTTAATTTCAAAAATTGGAAACAAAACAACAAAAACAGTTACATGTAGTACTATATATAAAATCAAATTAACAATATCTACTATTTATATACATAGAAATACAAGTGGGGTTGGTTCTAGCAAACCCATAGGGGAGACCAGGAGAGCCCACAGAGGGTCTCTCATGGGGGACTGAATCACAGCTCTGGCTCTCTCCGATCGCCTTTACTTTCTCTCTCCAGGTTAGTATCTCTCTCTCTCTCTAAATCTGTGAATGTGATTTGGGTTTTTTTGGGATTCTTCGTCTGAACGTTTTGGATCTGGGTTTCTTTATTTTAGGTCAAATTTCGATTGTTTTGTGTTGAATCGTTTTGTTGGATGTTAATTTAGGGCTTTTCCGATTTTGGGTATTCACGCTTTTGTTATTTGGAAGTGATTTTGGTTCTCTGTCTGTTTTGAGCTGATTAGGAGCTTGTATCGGATTTCTTATGTATCTTATTCGCCAAAATTGAAATTTTTTATTTTTTAGGGTGTTTGAATTGAATTTCAATGATGTTCTGAACTTGGGTTCGAGTTCAATTATTTGTTTCGGCTATAACAACAATAAACAAGATAATCTGTCATAGGATGGCGCTGTTCTTTTAAATATATTTTAAGGGAAAATAGTGTTTTCTTTTGGGTGGTTAGATTTTGAGGCTGATTTGTATTTTCATTGTATGTTAATTCCAGGTGATTCAACAGTGAAATTTCAGCTCACAGTTTGGTCTTTGGATGCTTTCAAGGTCTAAATTTTGAAGCAACAGTCCACATACGCCGTATACTTCAGGTCAGCATCTTTGTCTAACTTCAACCACTAGCTACCAAGAGTTTCTGTCAGTATTTTGACCTCTAGATGGTTGGAAAGGCATACAAGCAAAGATCAAGAAATTTGACTTAAAAACATAGCATTTCCATTATTTGGGGAGTGTATCACTAAAGTTAATCGTTTGTTAAACGCTGGGATAGCAGGCAAAAACGTTAGCCGAGATCTTGTTTGGTAACTTCAGATTGTTTTGGGTTTCAAAATTTCGTATGGCTGTTGCCAAGAGCAACAGCAGCAGAGAATCATCATCTTTCCAACTGTGCAATTGCTACAAAGTTGCCAGCTTGGCTGAAACTATTTTAGACTCATACCAGATCTCGAATTTAAAAGATCGATATTTTCTTGGAGAGCAGTTGGGCTGGGGGCAGTTTGGTGTTATCAGGGCCTGCTCTGATAAGTTGACTGGAGAGGTGTTGGCGTGCAAATCGATTGCCAAAGATAGATTGGTCACACCAGACGATGTGCGGAGCATCAAGCTTGAAATTGAAATAATGACTAGGTTATCTGGCCACCCTAATGTTGTAGATCTTAAAGCAGTATATGAGGATGAAGATTCTGTCCATTTGGTGATGGAGCTATGTGCTGGAGGGGAGCTCTTCCATCTGTTAGAGAAGCATGGGAGGTTCTCTGAGGCTGAGGCCAGGGTTCTATTTAGGCACTTGATGCTAGTGCTGGTGTATTGTCATGACAAGGGTGTTGTTCACCGAGATCTGAAGCCAGAGAACATCCTCTTAGCCACAAAAACCTCGTCCTCACCAATTAAGTTGGCTGATTTTGGTCTTGCAACCTACATAAAACCAGGTAGCGTCTGATTTTTCTATGATGAACCTTATGATGCTAATTTCCCTGCAAAATTTCTGATTGTTCAATGATATAAACATTTGGATTTTGTCCAAACAGGGCAGAGCTTGCATGGGACTGTCGGTAGCCCTTTTTATATAGCTCCTGAGGTACTGGCTGGAGGCTATAACCAGGCTGCTGATGTTTGGAGTGCAGGGGTTATTCTGTACATTCTTCTCAGTGGGATGCCACCATTTTGGGGGAAGACAAAGTCTCGAATATTTGATTCAGTGAGGGCTGCTGATCTTCGGTTTCCATCAGATCCATGGGATCGCATATCTGAATCTGCAAAGGAACTGATTAGGGCAATGCTTTGTAAAGACCCTTCTCAGAGGATCACAGCTCAGCAGGTTCTAGGTAGGTGGTTTACCCTTTTTTTTAAACCAGAAATGCTTATCTTGGTATTTCTGACCTTTACATTCAGGCACCCTTCTTTGGATTTTGGTAGGATGCATATCTGTAATGAGGAAGGTGTTAAGATTGGGACGTAGGAAGATAATATATTATAAAGTTTGCACTTACCAGATAATAAAGGTTGGCATTTTTGTTAGTAATAAGATTATACTAGATGCATCGAAAGAATGGGGCAAATCAGTATAACTGGAAGAAATACAAAACTGAAAAGAATCGCGAGATAACAGCCTTGTTCAGAAACAGAGAGTTCAAAAAGCCTCCTGGATTACCAGTGGCCTAGCGGTATCGGCCTCTTACTTCCCAAAAGAAGGTCAGGGGTTCAAGTCTCATAAGAGACGTGTGTGTGAGTACCAACTAGGAAAAAAAAAAAAAAAAGCCTCCTGGAGAAGACATTCTCCTAAATTCATCTAAACTGATAGTAGTTGGATTACTCTATATCAATGCTTGGCATATATGTGGTCCATTTTAAGATTTTAGTTTACACAAGTTGATTATTGTGTAGAAAAACAAATTGAACTCTGTGCATGCAATTCTGTCACACTGTGTTGTGAGTGGCTTTTTTTTTTTTTTCCCTAAATGTTGTGAGTGGCTTTTTACTATATATTATTGATCTAGCACTGGTGTTCTTTGGTGTGATCACGTTATTACTTAAATTAATGTCATTAATTTGAATTTGAACATGTATATGTGTTGTCAATTAGCATTGCTTATGTCCCAAATCAAGACAGAGCGTCCAATTCTGTTTCAATTTGGTATATTCGCACCTGCATGTTTGTTTGACTTTCAGGCTTTGTCTAGAGCCCCATTTTCTACTTATTTAAACTCTCCTCCCTTTTTATCTCCCATTACAGAGACGTTGATTTTGCATCATGTTTTTTGTAGATCACTCCTGGATGATGGACCTTGCACCTGTTTCTAAGGAACCATACAAGTTTGAACAGGAAAGCTATGGTGAATTGGGTTTCGGTGGAGGTTCTTTCTCTAGCTGTTTCTGCACCTCATTTATGGCCAGAGATCAGGACATCAGTTTCGGCACTGGATCACCTATTATTTGTGATGCACAACCAACTTCAAACACACGCGGATCTTCATTGTCCTCTTTTCTGGTGGAACCATCAACACCTTGCCTTGAATCTGGTGGGTTTTCTTTCCGTAGCTGTGGCGGTTCAAACACCCTAGAATTCTCAACACCTGTCTCTTCAATGCCAAGCTTCGCTTTCTTCAGCCCAGGCTCCCTGTCTGAGCAAGGAAATCATCAGTTGGATTTTTCAGCCAACAAATCCGGAGTAGACTCAGTTCACAGAGGTAGTTTAGTTTCTTGTATTTCAACTTTATGTAGTGTTTAGAAGAACATTTGACATGAAATGACACCAAACTACTGCCTAATATGCAGAAACAAGCTTGCAGAAGATGTTCTTGTTGCCAGATACTTCTCTTTGCTTTGGGCATGAGGCTAGAGAAATGGAGCACAAGGCAGTTGAAGTTAAAAGGCTCGGAGGAACTAGTGGGTATAGAATATCAGGCATCCATAGCAAGAGGAATCGCACGATAGGCCTTGGTGAGTTCGAGCAGCTTGATATCATGGTCACTGAATCAGTTATTCGATGGGCATCTTGCACTCACCTTCCTACTGCAACTTCACTGCGATCTTCTCTTGTTTGCTGAAAGTGTCGACGAGCTGAGTAAATCTCGGGTGAGCCATAGGTATCTGACGAGGGATCAAAGTGCATCAATTGATATGCCCACTTGAACTTTCTGATCTAATGTAATTTATTGGTAGTTTTCTTGTATTGAGCTCAAGTCATTGTAACATAGTGCTTATTTGCCACTTGCCAGTGTTAGTTTAGGTTCACCAATGTGGTATTATGAGTGTTGTATTCCTGGAGTTTGTTTTAGCTGTTTACAATGTGGTATAGAAAGGGTTCCAAGTGATGGCTACTGAGTTTTTTTCCTTGTGCAAAAAAATGTTTGGTGTATCTTGAGTTAGAACTGTTCCAAGTTTCATTTTTGCACTTGAATTAAGTCTTGCTTGAGCCAAGTCCCACTGGGACAAATTGTTCTAATGATTTAGAATAATGCCTCATTGAGTGAGCCTTTGTAAATAATTAAATGTTAGGTTTGGGAGCATTGAATCGATGCCTTGGTTTTGGAACTAAATTTTCTCTAATTTTAAATTCGAGACGCCAATTTGATTGTCCCAAACGTAACAAAAAGGTATTCAGAAACATAAAGTGTAGGTTTCTAGGAAGCACGGACACTCCACCTAGGGATGCCGTGGCGGTGTCGGAGTGGCGGTGTCGGAGTGGCCTGAACACGACTAGAAGTATCTTGAAATTTAAATATTTATTGGCGGTGTCGGATAGGCCTGAACACGACTAGAAGTATCATGAAATTTAAATATTTATTTTTTGATTGGACATGGTTGGGACACGATGAGGACACGTTTTGAATATTTCTGAAACACGGCAATGATATGTTTTGGACAATTTCAGGACACGACAGGATAATTTTGTAATTATATTTTTTAGAAGAATGAAATTTAAATGTCATTTAAAATATATTATGTACTAATATGAAAAAATAATATTAAATTTAAAATAACAAATATTTAATTCTAAACTCCAAATTAATGCTTTCATTTTTTATTATGTGGATAAAAGGAGTAAAAATGATTATTTTTCTACATATAAAAAAATATTATATTATTATTTTTGACGTATTCACGTTGTATTTGTGTCTTTTTTTCTTCTTTTTTTTTTTAATTTATTGTATTATTGTGTAGTACGCTTGTTCCGTGTCTGTATTCGTACTTTCTAAGTAAGCTCTTTTTACGAGATTGAAAGGAGAAAAAGAAAAGAACAAAAAAAAAAAAGGAGGAGTTATGAGATTGAAAGGAGAAAAAGAAAAGATAAAAAAAAAAGGAGGAGAAGAAGAAAGCTTGTTCTAAAACTATTAATACATGTACTAAACCTAATTTTAACATTGATGAATAGGGTCTTGCACTAAATGGGAGGATTGTTGTATTTGTCAATACCTGCACTAGACCAGGCTTGTAATGTGTGTAGTGAAAAGGGTGAGTTGGTGGACCCCATCCAACTCAAAATATGCCAGAATCCACTTTGGTAATGCAATGATATAAACCACTATAATTTGTGTTGTATTGTCTCTACTATTGCTGAGTTGTAAGAAATCAAGAATATCTAAGAAAAAGGGTCCCACACACACACACACAAACACACACATATATAAGTGTTTTTTTTTTTTTTTTTTTTTTTTTTCACATATATACGTGTTGACATTGCAGGCAACATGAGTTAGGTGCACATGGTTGATTGATTGAGAGGCACCCGAAGGTGGGGGGTGGGGTAGGGAATTTTGGCAATCAATTGAACTACCATATCCAAGAGACATGTCAATAAATGGTGCTCCCTTTATCCACAATGCAAGCATTGCTCCACTCCAAGAAAAAAGAGTCCACAATTGTCAAGTGATGGGTCCCATTTTTTTCTCCTCCCAGACCAAAACAATCAATAGAGTTCTTAACTTAAAAATGGGAATTGAAGATGGGGTAAATTTGACTTTCTATTTTTACCACAAAATTTTCAAGTGATAGGTCCCAGTTTTTCTCCTCCCATGCCAATACAATCAATAGAGTTCTTAGCTTAAACATGGGAAGATAGGGGTAAATTTGACTTTCTATTTTTACCACAAAATTGTCAAGTGATAGGTCCCATTTTACATGGGAAGATAGGGGTAAATTTGACTTCATATTTTTACTTGGATGGATGTTGGCTGCAGTTTATCACTTACCAATGGGTAACTAAGAAGATTCACATACCATTTGTTAAAAAACAGTCAAAATGTAGAGCCATTAAAAAGCAACATGTTCATTATGGGCATGGTTGAAAATACTTATTTTGGGAAAAATAATAAAAAATAAAAATAAAAGACAAACTGAATAAATTAGTAATCAGGTTTGGCTGTCATTCAAAATTGGATATCAATTTGAATTTAAGATAAAGGTAAAAAAAATAATAATAATAAAATAAAAATAAAAAAGACAAACTGAATAAATTAGTAATCATATTCGTGTGTTCTGGCCCCATTTTGAGAGACAGCCAAACCCTAACTGGAGCTTCAATGTTTGCCCTAATAAGGTACATGCAATCATGTTTTAGGGCCCCTTACATCTTCATCAGAAGGGGAAGAGATACAGGATGGGGTATTGAATAGGGCACAACTGACTAGTGCCCATCAAACTTTTAAAAGAAAATTTTCTCCAGTTACATATATTTCCCAAATATTACTAATAACCCGTTTTAGGGTGCTCTTGAAAAAAAAAAAAAAAATGCTTTTATCTATGGAGCTATCAAAAAATTGCGATGAATAAAAAGCATATTAGGTGTTTGGTGACACATTATAATAAGTATTTTTCATAACTAAATTATTTCATAATATATTTTTGTAATTTTTATAATAATATATTTTAATAGGATGTTACTATATTTGATAATAATAACTTTATTAAGGAAAGTGTGTAATTATTTTTATAAAAAATAAAAAATACAAAATTATTTAATGAAAAAAAGTTAACTAAAATATTCAATCTCTAATTTTGAAAGTTCAAAATTCTTTAACTTCATTCAAAATCTCTATAGAGCTAAATTTAAAAATTATTAAAAACACCTTTTAATAGAGTAACCAAACACATCTAAATGTAATTTTTCAAAATAAAAGGACTTTTAAACCATAGAGAAATAATCCCAAAGGGATCAATACTCATAAGATATTGATGATGACATGGTATTACTAACTGATTAAATGTTAACATAGTGAATAGGCTTCACTGAAATAAATATGTTTTTTACTTATGTAACGAAATATAATTGGGTTGATGACGCCAATGACACGAGATCACTGGACTACTTTATACTGTATATATTAAAAATGATTGAGGTCAATTAAACAACGGACTTCACTTGTTATTGAAATAATTTCAGCGCGCCACAAGTATAATTGCACCGAAAATGATTTAAGTTGGTGGACATGAGTGATTTAATTATGTGACAAAATATAATTAGATTTAATTGCACGGGTAGGTTAGTTGAGTGACGGTTTAAACAAATTCTCAAAGGGAAACATGTCAAGTTTCATGATGGGTAGATTGTGTAAAGGATTATTATGGTTCAAAATGGAGCTGATCTATGTGAATTTGAGTTTAAATCTATATTTTAATGTTGTGTTTTTATCTGGATTCGAAGTAGATCCTATTTAGACAATTTATATTCAACTCATACAACCCATGTAAGTCTTAAAATACTAAAATTGTCCCAAATTTAAATCGGATTTTGAGTTGAATAGGTTTGGTTTGTTTTGAGATAAAATATTTTTTTGGAGAATTTTTTTTTTTTTTTTTAGACAAAAAGTTTATGTCAAGGTTGAGAACGAGTCCATCGAGTGAGGCGTGTAAAATAGTTTGTCAAAAATTAATAAATAAATTATTTTTATTAGATTTTAATTTTTTTTTGTCGTAAATATTTTACGACAACCAAACATTATGAAACGCAAATAATATTTTTTGAAATATATTATACGCTCAAACAAACAAAACCAATATATTTTATGTCAGCTCATATTCAAGCCTAATCCAAAATCGTGTTGATCATTTCAAAGAAGAAACATTTCCAACCTATTTAAATTCAGATTCAAAATCAAAATTCAATCTTAAAATTTAGATTTCGATTTAGATCAAATTACAAGTCAAACACATAGCCTCAAAAAAAATATATATATTTATATATATATACACACACTCTTATTTAATATATGAGGTAAGGCTTTTATGATAATGATAAGGTCTGCCTTATGGACACAATTCAACCTCATATTTCAATGTGCACCTTATTGTTCCACATGAACTCTCACCACTCACCACAATTAATCTTCGTCTACAAAAACTTTTTCTCTTTGCCTTTTAACAATCAAACCAAATGGGGTGTCAACTTCACTCCTCAAATCCTCAAATTCTCTGCAAAATTCCCAGAAATAAACCAACCCATTTATTCTCTATTCCTTCACTCCAACCAAAGCCGAGAATCCAAACAGTAACCTTATCTTCCTCGAACAACAACAACAACAACAACAACAATCAAACCAAACAACAGCCCATTTCCATTTCCACCACCACACTCACTCAAACCCAAGCACCAAAAACTGATTCATACAGTGTCAAATTTGAGACCTTAAGTGGCTGCAAGCTTGGTATTTCTAGATATCCAGACTTCGAATACAATGCCGAGGGAGGCAGGGGAACTGGGACAGGTACAAAGATCATAGATGATGATTTCGATGGCGAAATCTCGGTCTGTTTCGATCTGAAAGCGCTGTACATTCCGCCATTGATGAGCTCAACCACTCGGTTCTTGGGATTGCCATTGCCACCCTTTTTGAAAATACATATTGTTCCAGAGCTACTTCAAGGAAGGATTGATCGAGAATCTGGCAAGGTAGATTTTTTTACCACAACCCATTTCATACTTATTGCAAATTATGTTGTTGATGTTACTGCTTACTAGGTACTAGCAAGTTCGTTCATGAATAATTTCTTCCCAATCAAAATTACACTACAATTTATGAATTAAAAGTCTTTTTATTGCAAATTTCTCTTAATGACAGTAAATTTAAAGTCATTTTTATTGCAAATCTCTCTTGATGACATTACTATTTGATAATCCAATTCAACGCCTCATTTTGTGAACGAATTAAGTGATAATGCAACTCGAATAGAAAGGAAAAAGGTAAGCATTACTTGAAATGGAGGAATATTTTAAATAAAAGAGTTTTAACTTATCACTTAACGCTTAACGGATTAAAATTCAAAAATAATACTAAAAAATATTTTTTGCCACTTAAAAACTTCTATCATGTAATTCGGCTCTGAAAACTTTTAGTACTTAATTTTTAATTTTATCGAAAAACAATAGGTTCTTTCAAGTCCATTAAAACTAGGGATGCACAAAAAACCGATTAAACTGATAAACTGAACCATACCAAACTCGAAACTCGATCGATAGGTTTGGTTTGGTTTTTTAACGAATCGATTCGGTTACGGTTCTAAAAATATGAAACCGTTTATAAACAACTTGAGATGCTATAACACTAAACCGTACCAAACCGTTTTATAAATTGTTTATATATTTATATATTTTGTATTATATAAATAATAGAATAATAAGATTAACCTTTTAACCAATCAACTGTATATCATAATATAAAATAGAAAATTATATTATATATAATATATATTTTAAATTCATATATATATTAGATTGAATTATAAAAAAACCTAGAACTGTGAAACAACTACCAAACCGTTTTCTCACGGTTTGGTTCGATCACACCTAATTAAAAGTTTTTTTTATTTCTTAGTTCGTGCTCAAACACACGTCCTTCCACTGAGACTCGAACTCTTACATCCCTTTGGGAAGTAGAAATCTAATACAGCTAGGCCTGTTGGTCCTAATTGAAGGTCTTCATATTCTACTTTCACCTCGAGATAATACAGAAAATAGTTCACAAAAATCACTAGCAGTCATTGAAGTCAAGTATTTTTCAAAGTTAATTCTCAAAACACATCTTCCTTCTGTTGTTGATGTTGCTAGATTATTGTTGTTGGTGTGTTTGTAGGTTGATCTTGAGTTCAAGGCCAAATTCTGGTTCTCTGTTGGGAGTGTCTACAAAGCTCCACCGTTGGTGGTGGCGACGGTGTTGACGTCGGAGGAATCAAAGGGAACATTGAGGAGTGGAAGAGGGGAGAGGTTGGATAAAGAAGGGAGGTGCAGGCTGGTTGGGGTGGCGACTGTTCAACCTATTGATGACTTTCTTCTGGATTCCTTCCTTGCCCTTCCTACTGAATGCCTTGCCATCTTGAATGCCATGATCTCTTTTTCCATCAATTAAAAGATTTTTCAACATCACTGCTTATATATACTGTTATAGAATCTTGCTCTTGTTGCAGAAAAAAATGAGTAAAGAAGACCATAGAAGTAGTACTTCTCTGTTTTGCTTCCAATGTGCAGATATATGAAACCACTATAATAAAATGCATGTCCAATTTTTTATTTTTTATTTTCTTCAACTTCAAGTAAACTTACCTACATTATACTTACCAAGAAGGAAGGGAGAGGGATTATATCATCTGGACTAATGTATATCTATCAAAATAAAGTTGAATAATTAAAGAAGTATTTGGTATTTTGGAGATTTTATTGAGTTGAGTTGATCTATATAGAGATTCAACAAATGAAATAGATGTATGGGATATAAATTTAGTTTCTGAATTTTTACTTTTAAATATTTCGTTAATAGTACCATTTTCAATTAAACCTCTGGCCCAAAAATAAAAATATATTAGAAATCAAATTATATGTTTTTTGGGGGGGCTTAAATGTTTTGTTGTATTAAAAGAAAAGGTACTAACGTATACAAATGTGAACGAATATCATTTCCAATAGCAAACAAAAACAGAAATAATTTTTTAAGAGAAAAATCTAAGAAAAATATTCCAATAATCACCAACAAAGTAGCTAACATACTCTTTATCACCGTAAATTCCAAAAGTAAATTCCAAAAGAATGATTTAGACATGATTCCAAACTAATTTAACAGCTTGATACCAAACTAATTTAACAGCATGTTTATCTTCTTTCATATGATGACATCTTCTCGATCAGTTGTAAATAGTTAAAATATAATTTTTTTTGTTAATTGTTCCTGTTGTTATCTCAACTTGGGAACATAACCATTAAAATCATTACAAATATTGAGCAATTGGAATAAAACTCGCATCTCTATTCTAAACTATAGAATTATTGTTAACCCCTATTCTATTTATGGCCATTCTCATCTTTAATGAACTGTTAGGGGAACATACCCATTAAAATCATTACAAATATAGATTAATTGTTAACCCCTATTCTATTTATAGCCATTCTCATCTTGAATGAACTGTTAGGAACATACACATTAAAATCATTACAAATATTGAGCAATTGAAATAACACTCGCGTCCCTCTTCCAAACTATAGACTAATTGTTAACCCCTAATGAACTGTTAGGATAGGTGACCATCAACTGTTAGAATTTACTGTTCTTTAATGAACTGTTAGAATAGGTGATCATCAACTATTAGAATTTACTGTTGAAAACAATCTTCTAAAATACATACGACTCTACATAATTCAATCTCTACTTCTCTAAAATATTTTTTATTCTTGATACTTCTACAAGTTTTTATAATCTTCCACTCCTATACTCCGTAATTCTGCACAATTTTTTAAGACTTTAAAATCAATTCTATACAAATGCCAACAAGACATCATGCTAACATATCATGTCCTTGTCATTTAACAGGATCTCTAGTGGAAGGTTTTCAGCAATTGTATTGACGTAACTAACCACCTTATCTTTTGACGTTATTATTTATTTTATTTGGAAATTCATGTCTTTTAGTGTTAAGTATATTTATTTTATTATTTTAAAATTTTTAAATGAATTTTTTTAAATTTATTTTTTTTCCAGTGTTTTTTCAACGGCTATATTTCTAATGGCTACTCAAATAAAATGTAATTTTCATATTGTTGATGAATAAAGAAAATTATAAATTTTTGCTTTGATTATATTTTTAAAAAAATTAAAGAAAACAATACATAAAGAAATATCATATTACATATATAGAGAAATGGCTATATTTGTTGACATTATACTTATTTTAAAGAAAATAAATAGAAATACATTATAAATATTCTCTCACAAATAATAAAATAAAATAAATTAAATTAAATTATGCAAATTATGAGGAAAAAAAAAATTTGAGTTAATTGAATGTGGTATTTATAGACATTTCAACAAAAAAAAAAAAAAAAAAATGAAAAGTAAAAGAATACTCTCTTTAAAAAAAATAATAATTAATTAATATGTAAAGAAAATGACTTTTTAAATTAATTAAATTATGATTCTCTTTTTTAAAAAATATAAATAGAGCCTCACCACTCCATCCCCATGAAGAATGGGGTAGAGATTGTCTCGTGGGCATCACAAAGTGAAGAGGCCGACACCAACTGAATGTGATTTTTTTTTGGTTAAAGACCAACTGAATGTGAGGATTCCAAAAAGATGGTTACAACCTCTTTTATAGATCTTGATACCCTATAACAATAGATCTTATCCTTCAATTCATAATTAGAATCTACATGAAAGAAGTCTAAAAGACCAAAATAACCAAACTAATTCCCTTCAAACGTATAAGATCATGAACAAGTACGCAATATAATGCTACACTCTGAATGCAGTAATGTTGCGGTTGAAAACGCCGAATCCGCTTTTAAGTTTTAACTAAATTCCTTTTAAATTCAAATTCAAACCGGCTATTCAGTGCACCCAAACATAGCACAACTTAAAATATTATTCTAACCTACTCCGAAAAGAAAAATAATAAATAAAAATAACCCTTAATATATTTTCCAATTTTAAAATTATGATAAAATATGCTTTAACATAAATGACTGAAAATAAATAAATAAATAAAGTTCTAACACAAAATTAGATTTACTAAAATAAAGTTCAACATCTATCAAGCACACTTTCGCCTTGGAGTGAAGTCCTAAATTTTGGGTTCCAATTTCCAAATAGGGTAATTCTGGCTAGATTTTTGGCAGGAGGTTTGCTGCTTGCACGTCATCATATATTGAAGATAGCAAACATGGTGGTCTATAAATAGATTGAAACAATTGAACAGCAATCATTTACCTTTTTATTCACTGTTATATCACTGTACAACATATATTAGCATTGTAATGGTGTCATAATTATAATTTGATAAAAATGTAATGAAGATTTTGTTCCTATTTTTCAATGCACTGTCTCGTTTAACCTCTAATTTGAGACCCTTTAGCCATGACCTTACTTCAAACATGGCAAAAAAGAAAAACTGCATAACCGAAGAACTCGGAATTGGAATCAATATTGGTGAGCTGGAACCTAAAAGAGCTCACGGAAAATCAAATTGTGCAACTCACGTGTGTGGCGCTTGGCATTCGATCAGACTGAGTGGTGCTATCCAGAAATATCAATATCACTCGAATGCAAGCCTTTGAGTGGCAACCAAAGACGCATACTGACCCTTCCTGTCCACCAACTCTAAGTGCGTTCCAAGCTCCGCTATATTCCCGTCAGAACAGAGGGCAATTTGATGTGCATTCTGAACTGTGCTTAATCTGTGAGCAATCACCATTGTTGTTCTTCCCTTCATCAGGTAATTCAAAGCATCCTGGACCATGCGCTCACTAACTGCATCCAAAGCACTGGTGGCCTGCAGCAAAAATAAAATCCAATAAAACGAAAAAGGCATGATTATGTCAATGGTCCAAAAATCCTAACAGGTTACTATATTTGAACTTTATAATGTTATTATATTCACATAAAACAGTAAACATGTTTTGAATTAGGGACATAAGAGCTTTCCTGAAAAGACATGGACTGGACCAGGGACGGAGGGAGTATAGGCCCCCCAGATTTTCTCCCTCCCAACACTTATTTACATGCATATACAGTAAATATATATTATAATGTACATGTGCCCCCTGACAAAAATCCCTGGCTCCGTCCCTAGACTGGACCTTATAATGATTCCACCATTTGTTCCATTTGGCTGATCAAGACTAGTTTGACATATCACTGGCCTCATCCAAGCATGGACAGAACATACATAAGAACAAAGAAGCAAACTAAAATCATACCTCATCGAGTATCAGGATTGGGGCATTCTTGAGCAGAGCCCTAGCAATAGCAACTCTCTGCAAATAGGATAGAAATTCAGCATTAGTAACTCTCATTCTATATTGATATGTCTCTCTATCTCTCACTCTCTCTGCGTCTAGTTAGTATAGTACCTGTCTCTGTCCTCCACTTAGTAAACCTCCACGCTCGCCAACAAGCGTGTCATAACCCTTTCAGTCAAACAAACAGTCAGCAAAAAATTCAAAAATTAGCAGAAGTTATGCATACATATTTTTAAAGATGACACACCTGTGGGAGCGAGATTATGAAATCATGAGCGTTTGCAGCCTTGGCTGCCTCTATCACGTCATCCTTGGATACATAGTCATCTGGGAGCCCATAAGCAATATTTTCTCCAACAGACACCGAGAAAAGAACAGGTTCCTATGGAATTTTATTTATATAAATTTTAGAGAATTAGAGAATTTTGTTTTTTAAAAAAATAGTATTGTCTTGCTATGCAACTTGGTTCAGTGTTTCACATCAGAGTTAACTCCTCAAGGTAGACCCAACCCAGTTATTCAATTAACTCCTCAATCCTAATACTCAATTTACCCCAAATATCTAAAGTCAACCTTGTTGAGCCTTGTTAGAATGTAAGCAATGCTAAGTTTCCACGTATGCCACTAGCGATTCTTATTATTACGCGCGCGCGTGTTTGAGCATACTCGTGCACAAAAAGGTTGTATTGTTGGATTGGGTTTTATCGATGAAGTCCCTGGACTAAATAAATTTGACTTCAAACTAGTTTCAAGTTTGTCAGCATAATGTTTATAAATTCCACCAATACTAAATGAGGTCAATTTGGTTGCAGGGGATCAGCTTTGGGCCTAACTCTAATTAATTGTATCTATAAAATCGATGGATTGTCAGGAGCAGTACAATGACTATGTACATATCTATAAATATACATATGTCATTCTTAGGTTGTGAAAGTGCTTAGATCTTAAGAATAAAGATTCGCAAATTACTTGATTCACTATGGAAACAACCCGAGCCCATTCACTCTTATCAAATGTCCGTACATCCTCTCCTGCAACTGTTATACGACCTTTGGTTGGCTGCAAAATTAGGACATTGACTGATGCACGTCATTCTTTCCCAATCCATAACAGGGAAAATGTAACTTAAATTTCAACAATAGCAAATAATATAGTATAAAACAAACCTCATAGAAACGTGACAATAGCTGTACTATTGTACTTTTCCCTGTACCACTTGGGCCCACTAGAGCAGTTACAGTTCCACATTTTAGCTTTAGATTGAGACCTCTTAGGATTTCCGCATCAGGCCTCAAAGGATAAGAGAAGTACACATCTGCAAGACAAAATAAAGGCATAGTTTTCAGCAGTGGAAGTATAATATTTAACTAGAAAAACTGGCTTAAGTGAAGATTGTTATTTGAAATGTAGATTGACAACAGAAAGTATAGGATGTTCCCTATGCCAAGCATCTCAACCATCCTAATCCATTTGAATCCTTAGTGTCACCGAATTGGTGGAAGAAGAGGACATCTTATATGTTTCCCTCTTAAAAGCAAACTTCCCTGTAAAACTTTGCTAAGTATGATGATTTCATCTGATGAAAATCAACAAGCTAGATTATGAAAATACATGGTCTTAAAAAGTTATAGAATGATTATAATCATATTAAAGACATTGTGCAATGAGATTTGTTTTTCACTGTCCCCAAAACAAACATGTGAACTACATCAGAGATACCTTCAAGGCATATATCACCAGACCAGGCTAGGCTATCCAGACTGTTAGCTGATTTCAAGGCCGACATGTAATGCATATTACGAGATTCATTTTTCCCATCAGAACCATTGATAAACAACAGTTCAAAACTTTTATCATGCACTTCCTTATTCTTGATTTCTCTTCTTAAACCATAAGCAAGGGCTTCATCAATTTCACCCTCAGATAAAACAGAGTTAATCCTCTCTGTAGCAGCAAAAGCTCCACGGAGATCTCCAAATGTGTTGACCAGCCCTTGAACCTGAAAGACATTGTTAAAAAGCATATAGCAGATGAAAGTAGCATTTCAAGGGTGTGAAAACAGAAAAAAGAACTTACAGCAAAAGTTAATGTAAAAGTGTATCCAACAAAAGCAGCCACAGTTCCTATGGATAGTTCACCCTGCAAGCGGTATATGCAACTTCAGACAGTGCTGACTTAAATAGATGTGGTATAATTATAATAAAATTTTATCAAACAAGGAAATATGCAAGCCAAGATATGAGTGTGAAACACTCTGATTAAGTCACTCAATTAAGAGGTATCTCACCTAAAAACAAATTTGTGATAGGATGAACTAGTATGATAACTACAACAACGTCTTTTGCTTGGCAGAAAACCCAAAGTAGTAGACCACATATAACCTTTTAAAGATATATAAAGGACATGTATACCAGATCAAGTGCTTACTGTTTTTACTTTGCTTCCTCCAAGCCAATACAAAGCCAACAAAGAGATATAAACTGCAACTCTAGTCAGAGATTCATTTAAAGATTTGAAAGTACCCAGCTTCATGCCACTAGCCTGATAAGCAAGAACCTGCCAAACTCCACAATAATAGATGCTAAGTGCATGGATGGAGTAATAGTATCTACATGAATGTAGAGTAATGATTTTAGAAATTAAGATACTTTTACGAATGATCCATGTTTTACCTGGCTACCAAACATTGACATTTGACGTTTTTCTCCACCAAATGATCTTACCTACATCAACAAATATTACTGATTTTGTCACCAAATTTACGTCCAAGCTTTGATCAAACCTTTTTAACCTAAAAAAGCAAATTTTAAGGGAATACAGAAAATATTCCTAACTTCTGATGACTAAATCACTATATAAACTCTGTAATGGCACAAAAAGAATAAGATGTAGTAGAGCATTTTAAAACATACAGTACGAATGGCTGAGAAAGTTTCAGTAACACAATCTGCTATGGATGCTTGAGCCATACCATAAGCTTTAAAAACAGGCACAGTGGATCGCTTGTACACAGCTGGGAATATATAGCAGTAAGAGGCAGCAAGAAAACAAGAAAACACGAGACAAACAAATAAAGTGCAAACAGTTCAAAAGAATAGCATCAGATGAGCATTGCCAAAGTAATTTTAAGTAATACTGGAAGTAACAAAGTTATTAAGCATGACACAAGCAATATATCCATCAATATTTTGATAATTTGTGAAACATCACCTAGTGAAACCCAGATGGAAAATTACTAACCCTTGAACCCAGAAGAAAAATACTAACCTTGCAGTAAATTATTGACAACTTAGAGAACCTATGGGGCCTTTGCCTAGTTCATCGGTTTAACGCTTGAACATAGTGCCATTGGTGCAGGTCTAAGTTTTAGAGCAGATATTTTGTGATATATCAAAGGCTAGGTCTGTCCAAGTCCTCCCTTCCCAGAATTCTGCTGAAGGCACCAGAACTGGGTAACATCCCTTAACTTCAAGAAACCAAGAAGTTGGCACTCAATGTTACAAAGAAAATCTATAAGCACCAGGATGATTTGATAAAGTGACTCTTGGTCAAAGCTACACAGAATTTTTTATGTAACCACTTACTCTTACAGCTTAAGCTGTTAGAGATGGTGTAACTTTAATATTTAAATACTTCAACACGCCCCCTCATGTGTGGCCACGTGCTTTTCAATTTTTAATTTTCAGAGTGATGGTGAGGTTTGAACTTGAGACCATTGGCTCTGATACCATGTTAACAACCATCTACTCCAAAAGCTTAAGTTGTTAGAGAGCATGTAACTTTAATATTTAAATCCTTCAACAGAAGGAAAGAAAAGTATAGGTTGTACTTTTGACCCTTTATAATTAAAAAAGAATAAAAACTAAACATGACTCAAACTACAAATGAGAGCCTGCAATTTCAATGGGGAAAATATTTACCAACTGAAATAGACACAGCAAGCATGAGTAGTCCCAGAAGTGGTGCAAGCTTGGGGGAGAGGGTGAACAGTATGAATATTGTTCCAACAACCTATAAGAAAAGAGAAAGCAGCAGCTTAAATGACCATTATATAGAGTTCTCATGAAAAAGAATAAGATATAATGCTGTCCTAAAAACAGGTTATAAGTTTATTATAATTAATTAGAGCATTCTCAAACAAAAGAATTGCTGAAACAACAAAATCAGGAAATTCAGAAATTGCGCCTTATGAAGTGCAAGATAAGTCATAGAAATCATAGGAGAATCATGTACATGCTTAACTGTCGTCAACATAAAGCTCACTTTTGTTTAGTGTAGAATAGCTTGCCTCAGAAAGTGCCCTGAATCCACGATCCCTTGAAATGTTTTCGCTCACGATATTTTTGAAAGAACCCAAATCAGATGTCAATAATGCAGTGAGTTCACCAGTCTATCAAGAGAAAATAACAAGTTCTCAGTTCAAGAGTTATGATAGTGGATGGTAAAGATCAAAGAAAACATGAAGAATCCAGGGATAAATAGATACGGCATGTAACTATTCTAGGGAAACAGGAATAAGGGAAAAATGACCAAACATTATTAGATCAATATTTAAGCCCTATATGGAATGAAAAAATAAATAAATAATTGAGTATTAAATGGTAAGGGGCAAGGAACCCTAAAAGCATGAAGTGTAAACAGAAAAGGAGCGAGTCATTGCCGAAACAACTATCTTCCTAGGGAAAAGCTTAGTCAAAGGTAAGCCCAAACTGAAGAAGTGGAATTTTTACAAGGATATTCTGTTCCACATCTCCCATGGATGCATCACTTTATATATGTAAGCATCATCGGCAAGTCATTGCTGAAACAACTATCTTCCGAGGGAAAAACTTAGTTGAACATATGTCTTAATGTGTGTAGTTACAAAGCATGTCTATGTTTTCTTTTTCTTTTTTTTTTTGTTTTTTTGATAAATAACAAAGCATGTCTATGTATTACACTTCAAATGTTAAAAGTGCGTGAGCTTAGTGAGAGCTTTTTCTTTTTCTTAATATATAACCTATATAATAAAGAAGGGGATTCATTCTTTCTTCTAACTTTAAAAGTATCGATACTATTGAAGACCCGGTGTTCTGAATCAATCCAATGAAGTTCATTTTTTTTAAAAATCATCACATCAAAAAAAGGTGGAATGGAGTTTTTTGAAATTATAACCTAAAAACATTTAAATAAATATGATGAACAAACTAATACGAAAAGGAAGGAATAAATAAATAAACAAATAAATAAATAAATAAATAAATAAATAAATATATATATATATATATATATATATATATATAGAGAGAGAGAGAGAGAGAGCACAGTGCCAGTCGAAAAATAAGACTGCCAAGTGCTGAACATCCCTTTTTCCTCTCTTAAATTTATATAGATCATATGTATAATATAAATATATATATATGTGTGTGTGTGTGTGTGTTTGAATGTACTATTGATATGTTGTAGTAAGGAATACCACTATAATGAAATTACTTTTTCTTATCACTAAATTTGAATTTTCTATAATTAAAAATAAAAAGGTATTAATGAACTTTGGATGGGTCACGTGTAAGTTTTCTAAACTCAACACTGATACTGATTAAGAGGGTTATAAAAGATTTTTCAAAAAAAAAAAAATTTGGGGGGTGAGGGGCTGCAAATAAATTTTTTTTTTTTCACACTCATCAATCATAATTATTAAAAGGGGCTTCTAAAAAAGATTTCAAAATAAATTGGGAGGGCCATGGCCCCCCTAGCCAACCATTGGCTCCGCCTCTAACAACAAAGGAACTCCCTAGTCAATGTCATATTTTCTTTCTCCTTTTTCAACCCAGCATTTTTTACCGTGTGATTTATAAATGCATGATTGCTATCGAGAAATTTCAACTGAAGTCCACAAACTCAAAGTTTCAAAAAAATTACTAATTTCATCACTTATCTCTCATTCTTGACATTCTCTATTTGACACCTTACACATTAACAGACAATCGGCAAAGAACTACATGATGCACATTACTCAAAACATCCACAGGTTGTAAGTCTTTTAACTGCAGCTATTAGTAATTGATAGGAAAAGACTTTATCTAATTTGCCAAAATTTAAGTTGGAAAACTATGAATTGTGCAAAAACATATTACGCAGATTCGAAGCGTCAATATGAGAGATATGGGTTACTTGTACTTAGGGCTGCAAAGGAACTGAGTTGTTTATGACATCTTGGGCTCAGCTCGTTAAAAGCTCAGCTTTTGTGAAGTAAACGAGCCGAGCTTAAACAATGTTGAGCTCAGCTCGTTAGGCTCGTGGACAAGATTCTATACTGAAAGACGCAAAAAAAAAATTCAAAATCTTATTTATATACAATAGTTTAGCCCATTCAATACATAAGTCATACATCTTTCATAAGCCCAGCACCTTCACTCTTTGTAAACTCAAACTCACATTCATTCATAAACCCAACTCAAATTAAACTTAAGGCCAACTCCATTTAACCTATTCACCCATCATCCCATGTCTTTGTATCAGCCGTTGGATTCGTTGAACAAATAAATATGTGATGAAACTCCTAATTATATGCAGCCGCAACAACACCCCTAATCCCTTTCAACACAGCATCGCCTCCTCTCTCACTCACCGGCAACAGGTCTCCAACAAATATCTCTCTATGACATCTCTCTCATTGGGTCCCTTTTTTCGGATGTATCTCAATCCTGTTTTTGTGTTGGTGGAATCATTATCGCTGTTGAGTAGGGGTGGCAATATTTGATACAACACACTAACACAACTCGAACACGACACGAGATAAATGGGTTTGGGTTTAGCTTAATCATGTTCATGTCATAATCATGTCGACCCAAATTGACAAGGTGATCAAACGTGTCGTGTTCATATTTGACCCATGAATTCGTCTATAATCCGTTTAACTAAACATGTCAAATAATCGTGTCGTGTTCATGTTAAAAATGACCCATTTAGCTAAACGTGTCTTGTTCGGGTAAAAAATGATTTAGCCGTGTCTTGTCGTGTCGTTTTGTGTCATGTCAAGTTTTTATCCATTTATTAAACAGGTTACTAGTGTTGTGTCATGTTCATGTCAAGGTTTCTTGACACGATTAATAATGCGTCGTGTTCATATCAACCCATATAACAGTTTAACTGTCTTAACACGGCACGAACACGACCTGAGAACACGAATTGCCAACCCTACCGTTGAGTTCTTAGAGGAAGATGATCAGAGGTCGGCGAAAGAGAGGGCAACAATTTTCTTTCATCCCAACGATTTTCTTCCATCTTCAAAAATAATAATGTAAATATCTGAAGCTGTTCGATTTTTTTTTTGGTTGGATAGGTAGGCAAGCTCGAACCGAGGCAAGCCCGAGCTCGCCGAAATGCTGCCGAGCCAAGCTCGAGCTTGGCTTGACCAAGATCGGCCGAGATCGAGCCGAGCCCGAACACATTTCTGGCACTGGCGAGCCAAGCCCGAAAAAGGTTAAGCTCGGCTCGGTTCATTTACAGCCAAATGCCATATTGAGAACCGCTAACACAAGGACTGCAGTCCATTTTTCAAGGATGACATTATAGCTCAAAGAAGATCATGGCATGAACCACTATTCTTTATACAGAATATTTTCAGGTACTTAAATAAAGAAAATAAAAGTCAAATTAAATCTCATAAACAGATAAAACTATGTAGATAGGATCTCTAATCCATACCTTGTACCGGTCAAAAAACTCAACCTGCAAAGATAGAAGAAAAGTAACATATCAGAACACCAAAAACTTAAGTTTTGAATGATATAACTTCACAAAAACAAATTAAACAATGAGTGACTTCATGGATGAGAAGACCAAGTTCAGAATTGGAAAGCAACCGAAGATGAGTGCTTCCCAAAAAGATCTCACTCTCTCGTGATATGTTACTAAAAATTGAATGATATAACTTCACAAAAACAAATTAAACAATGAGTGACTTCATGGATGAGAAGACCAAGTTCAGAACTGGAAAGCAACTGAAGATCAGAATTGGAAAGCAACAGAAGATGAGTGCTTCCCAAAAACATCTCATTCACATAGCACCAATTGAAAATTTTACAACACAAGCAGGTCATGGTTCCAATCAATGATTGATATTTAATAAATTAAAAAATATAAATATTACAGCATGTATGATGTAGCCCAAATCTTCCCTAACTAGGTTTTGACATGTATCATAGTAGGAACATGATATCTGTGACACTAAAAACTTATATATGGTGAGAGTGACATGCACAATTTCAACATATGTCAGTACTTAATTTCGTTTTTTTTTTTTTTTTTTTTTTTTTTTTTTTTTTTTTTGGTTACATTGGCAAGAAACACACCCGCACCCCCACTCACACACTTTTTGCCCACACCCCGGTCTCGAACCCTCCCCTCCTCTAGGAGGATGGGGAGGTCATACCATTGGGCTACATTCCTTTTTTTGCAAAAAAATGGAAAAATGGAAATGTCAAAAAACTATTCTCAGGATTTAAAGAAGGAAAAACCAAAAACCTGAAGGTTCTTTTTACCTTCCTTTAAAATGTTCAGATGTCCAATCTGTGGGCTTCTGGTGAAACAACTTGTGGAAAATTTAATATACTTATCCAAAATATACATCTGAAAATTTCAGTTCCTATAATTTCCTTTTCTCCACTTCTTGGAATCCTGCACTGTTCCTTTCAATCTTTGTCTAGACATTTCAACCACTTGGTATACTAAGAATCTGAAATTTCGTTATTGCACAAATTTCAACAGCTAACCTGAGAGCCAGGGAAAATCCTCACAACCACCAAGCCAGTGGGGTCTATGTCTTTGTTATTAACATGATAACATATAGGACTAATTTATACAATAAATAGATATATATATATATATATATATATCCACTTTATACATAAATTTTATATGCACTATATACATCAACTTTGTTCAGATAACATCTGAAAACACCCATTCTCTGTAAAAATAAAAAATAAAAAAAAAAATAGGCCAATCAACCGTGAAATTTATTCTACAACACCACCCAAGGGAAAAAGTGGTCATACTTGAGGGGGCAAGGAGACCCCAAATTGCTTTCAATGGAAAGCCTACAGCCACCATCTCTTCCATAAGGGCAATTAAATTTATTCTACATCACCATCCAAGCTAAAAAAGTGGTCATACTTGAAGGGGCAGGGAGACCCCAAATTGCTTTCAATGGGAAGCTTTCAGCCATCATCTCTTTCATAAGTGCAATTAATTTTTCTTAAAAAAATAAAAAATCACAGAAAAATTCCCCCTTCTGGTTCCCTTAAAACAATGGCACCCCTGCTTTCCTTTAAAACCATCTTCCAAACAAAATCCTTGGACATAAAGTTCAAAAACAAACTTGAGCTCCCAATAACTAATTAATTTAACATATCATAATTTTAAATACCTTTCCTCCCTCACCCCTTCAGTGATGTCACCAACGAAAAATCTTTGAAGCTATATTATATGGCTCTAGACAATAAAACTAAAAGGAAATGGTCACACACCAAATATTATGATTATTATCCAAAGAAACATCCTACTACCTTGTCCACCAAAAAGCCATTGATTAAAAAGTCATTTAATTAATAATTGTGTTTCATGTTCCTAACCTGGATTTCACACATCCTCGAGGATAATTTTGATAATCCCATCAAAATCATTGTACAAAAACCCTGAAATTTGGTTGTAACTTCCTAAGTAAGAACTTAGTTCATCAAGGGGCATAACTTCAGAAATAAGAAAAAATGCATAAGTCCAAATAAATCCCTATACCCATCCTTTCCAAAAGAGATCTTTTCAAGTCTCTTTACAAAAAAAATGCCAGATTGATCAACAGATGCAGCAAGTTAAAAGAACACTAGAAAAAGTGTTGTATTGGAATTAGTCTATCTCCAAAAGTTATCTCTTCCAGCCCATTAGCTTCCTCTTAAATTGTTCAAATTTTAGAATTTCATCCAATTTCACATTAGAAAGTACAATGAGACAAGGCCAAATGACAAAGAAAAAGGAACCCCCCCCCCCCAACCCACAAAAAAAAAACCCACCACCCACACACACTGATACCCAGATTGGTTGCAATGCATGTCTACATGCAAAGTCCTATACAAGCTGATAATCCTGTCCTTATTATTCTAAGAATACTCGAACTTAAGACCCTATCAATTTACATAATTTAGTTTCTTCACCCCCTTTTAAGCCGAAAACTTTGAATTTCTTTTTCAATTTATTTCTTGCAAATCTGACACCATGACAACACCAAATAAAGATCATTCCAAGCAAAAAAATCACCCTTTTGAAAAATATATGTTAACTTTCTACAATAACACTTGCTAATCTCATTGGAAAACACCAGCTTTTCTAAATATGCATTCCAAAACACAATTTCCCTCAGCATCTTAAGTCTCCTAAGAAGCTTAGTTTTCTTACCAGCCACAGAAACTAACACAACCCTCAATCCAGCTAACCTCTCAACCAATTTACAAACCTTCCTGCTCAAAAGATTTAGTGATTGCTTCTTATCGACCGGCAGAGCGGCTACTAGCAGCTACAGGATGATAACTAAACTTAGCAGCCGCCAAGTGCCAACCAAGCCAATGCGCCATCCCTACCACTGACCATATATTCTCAAACCACAATGGGCCTACAAAGACTACTAAATCCACAAAATTTGAAGAATGGTCTAAAAATGAACATTTTTGCATGCATCCAGGAAATGTTCTTCCCAAGATGTTGATGCTGCACCCGCTTGGCACTCTTTACTGCAACTTCTTTTTTCTGAAAAAAGAAAGATGGGGACAACAAGAAACTATTCAAGTCTATGCTAAAGATTCATTGACAGAGATATTTCACCCCATGCTATTTCTTAAGGATCTATAGATTCAATAAATCATTTTTGTAGCTTCATAGCCTAGTACTTTGACATTCAACACCAGATAATATGTATTTAACCAAACTGCTCATATCTTACTATACAATAAAAAATAAAATATTGATGCCGAGAAGAATCAAAAAGCAATACAGGCTATGATGCAAAATTGACTATTGTGTGTGTGGGCTACATGTCCTACTTAAATCCCATCATTTAACATCACACTTCACCCTCCTTCCACCCTCACCCAAGAAGTACAGATAATCCAAGCGCAAGTGTTTGCATGCTATTGTCTTTTCTACAGTTTCTTCGATCTTCAATATGAATTAAAAATCACTTTATACAACTTTCCGTAACAAGAATCTTTCAGATAGATTTCTGGGCCTCAATTAGGTCTATGCTCTTTGAAAAAATCAATGGCAATAGATGCCAAATAAATATTGTAAATGTACTTTTTATCCTATGTTTACTACTTGTCAAGTGTTACTACTTTTCGAAGGACCATACGTTTGTTAAATATTTGGAATAAGAGTAAAAACGATTTTTAAGCATTCAGATTAATGTTTCCAAGGAAAATTGAATTGTGCAAGCAAGTCTCTATCCAACCTAAAGGGCACGAAGCATCCCAAGACGTGAGAACAATCTAATATTCCCATTATTAAAATGAAAATAAAATTAAGAAAATGTAACATTCTCCAAATTGAAATACAAAATTATTAACTTATCTTGAGTCTTTTGATTCCTTATCAAACTAAGAATGGACAATCAACTTTCAAAAGAAACGAAAAATACCACCATCATCTCAATTGTTAACAACCAACTGGTTTAAAATTTTAATGATGTCAAACTTTGAGCATAAAAGCTTAATGCCATGGTACCATCTTAAAAATTGACTACTCTAGAAGCTTAGATTGATCGAAATGATGTAACTTATTTATATCCTCAATATTACCATTCCACATCCATTTTTCATGTCTTAGACCACATTATTTCATACTCATATCAGCAGTAATAAGCAACAATAAAAGGAGAAAATTACTAAGAAATAAAAGTTATTTTTACCTTCTGAATCAATATCCTTCGAAATATCTGAGCTCTTAATTTTGACATCACATTCTCCCATATAGTGTTCAAGTTCACAACAAAAATAACAGTGAAAATTGGTTCCAATGCATACAGCACCCCAATCTTACCAAGCAGCTTCCATAAAGGTTCAGGTCTCGTACCAATAAGTACTTCGAAAAATCTCCCTAAAATAATCATCAGCTAGTCATCAGATAATAGTGGATATTATTTTTCTGTTCATTATTGGCAACTCTTTAGTTAATAAATAGAATTGGATGTGCATGTTTTGAAGATTTTCTTAATCATACCCACAATTCTTATAATATATATATATAAAATGAAGATCCCAAAAAAGTAATAATAATTGAGTTATAGAATGGATATCTATATTTCGAAATTGAATCAGCTTTCTATTTTTTACTCCACATTCTTGCATTATGTAACCGTTTACACTTCTTTCCATCTCAAGCTATGGCAAAACAATTATTCAACTTATTAGCATGAAATGTTTTCTTTTTGTGAGAATTATTCAGCTTATTGACGTAATTGGACGCAAACTAATGGATTATTTTCATGTTTACTTGAAGAAATGTCATAATTATCTGAACTGGAGACCTATAGCAAAATATACAATTTTCATATTAGCTTATAGAACCATCTCTTCCTCCGTATATCCAGAAATAGAACTTTGACACCTTTGCTGCTTCCACTTGGTTGCTGAGAAAAGAGAGGAAAATAAAGGAAAAGAATATCTGAATCTCATATTACAATTTATAGGACTTTGGTTTAAATTCCCTTCTGATTTTTCCAGAAACCAAATAGACAGAAATACAAAATTCCAATTTTTTTTCCTTTGTTTCCCTTTTCTGAGCAACTAACCGAACCCATTAAAGAGTTCTCGAACTTTCTTGTTACCCTTATCCACAATTTTTCTTTACTATGGTTTCTGAACCGAACCAGAATTTCACCAGAAATACAAAATTTTCAATTTTCTTGTTTCCCTCTTCTACAATATTTCTTTATTATGGTTTCTGAGCAACCAACCATTGTAGAAATTTTACTATGAACATATTTTACCTGAAAATATGGGCATTGAGAGAGTGCAAGTGGTACAACCCGCAAGAGTGAGAACCGAAACCGCGAGTCTCAACTTGTGGCGACCCAGAAGACTCCACAACAGACCCCAACTGATGGCATTAACCGGTTGCGCATTTTCACCATCACTGAGGCTCGAAAAGTCAACTTTGGGATCGTTCTCGGCATAATTGGGATCAGAAGCTGGACCAGTCACGTAAGCGGAATAGGCCGAGCCCTTGGATCGTCGGCCGCTGTGTTTCTGCCGGAAAAGATGAAAGCGGCGGAGTAAAGAGGACATGGAGAGAGGAGAGAGAGAGGAGAGAGAGTGATTGGTAGAGAGTGTTCGAGCGTAGGGCTTGGGAACTGGGAAGGAAGAGAGGTTTAGAGAGAGAATGGGAGGGAGAGTTGCAGAGGAGGCCATTGAATTGGGAGCGGAAAGGGGAAACGGAAAATGTTATTCAGACATGAATTTAATTTTGGCTTGTGTAGCGGAAACTGTTATATGGCTTAGGTCTGAGTTGAGTTTAAGACGGAGTTGAATTGTGTAGTTAACGTATATTATTTGATAAAAATATGTAATGTATGTACAAGGTGTTTGTATTAATTAGTAATCAATAAATTTGAATTTAATAAGTAAATTGATTCAATTCCAATAACAAAATAATGGTCCCATTACATTTAATTTAACTAATGTTGTAATTGGGAACAAAGAATTGAATGAGCTTATAAGGGTATGTTTGGAAACGCAAGTGTTTTTGGGATTTTGTTTTAGTTTAAAACAAAACAAGTTAGTCTAAAACAAAATAAGTGTTTTGTTATTGAGTTTTCTGGGTTGAAAATGGAAACATATTTGGCGACAAAAATTTGCAGTCTGGAATTTCGGAGCAGAAACATGTATAACATGTTTGACAAGATATTTTCTTTCAAAAAATATGAAAACAAAATATGTTTGGCAGAGTCAATCTATAGCCAAATTTGCTGAAACAAAAACATGAAATATGTTTGGTAAAGACAAAAATATGAAATATGTTTGGTAAAGAGTGTTTTTAATTTATTTTTGAAAATTTAAATTATATTAATACAATATTATTTATATATAAGAGTACATTGTTTTATATGGTTTGAAAATTTATAACTTTACTAAATATAAAGTAAAATTTTATTATTTATTAATTTTATTCTACAATTGATATAATTTTTAATTTTTTTTATATAATTTATTTTAAGTTTTAGTTTACTTAATAATATTACATTAGGGCTTTAAATAATAATTAATACTTATAAAAATTCTTCCGCAACCCAATTTTATTACAATTTTTTTAACTCATCTATAAAAACCAATAAAATGTATTTTCTTCCCTTTTATTAAATTTTATTTTGTCTAATTTTGTAAAATGAAAGTTTGATTTTATACCTAATTTAGCAAGAGTATATCTAATTTACTAAAGGAAAATTTTTAAGACTTATTTATCTTTAAATTAAAAAAGTAAAACTTGATGGTAATTTTCCCTATATTTTACCATACCACTCCTTTCCTTTTTTTCCCTCTTTAAAAAATTTTGGAGGGTTGATATGTTGTCAAATTTGTTGAATTAGATATTAAAAAATCTATGAATGCTGGATATTGTTTCAATATCTCTAGACGCGTGAATTGAAATAGACTATGAAAATATTGGTCAACAAATTATTATCAAACTTTGTCACTCTACAGACATGAGTTTCAAGAGATTACACATTCCATGTCTCTCTCTCAAGCGCACACACCAAACTCACCACAAGAGCAATCTCACTCCCAAAACTCATCTTAAGTATCCCAAAACATAAATATTACATCATTTGTCAACAGCCACAATAAAAATATTTAAGTAAAATTTAACTAATATATTACATTATTTGTCAACCGCCACAATAACCAACAACAACAACATAAGTAATAACATAAATAATATAGTAATAGTAAGACAACAACAGCCACCATAGATAATGTAGTTTTGCCTATATTGTTGAGCTTGCATAACAACAACTTCATTCTCCAACTCTTGATCCACATGACCATCCACTTGCACACCTTGGTGCATACCATCCAACCATATAAATGCATGAGTAAGTGACTAAAACATTAAACACTTGTATATAATTATAATGCCCCCGTGATAATAACATGTGTGTATAAAAAATTGACATTCAATGGATTTTATACCTCCCAAGTTGGACATCTATAAAATGAAGGTCCATAATTCTTTGGAGTTTCAGCTGTATAAAGATTCATTGGACCTCTTCACCCTGTATCTCATACATGACTGCATATAGAAGTGCTAAAATGTGTAATGTATACTTAGCACAAGTTATTACAGTTATCCAAATCCTAAAAGAGAGTTAAAATGAAGTAGTTGATGAGTACTGAATATTGCATATTCGATCCCTTAAATATACGTATGTTAAGACCTAAAGTAGTACTTCTATCCAGTTTTAAACTGATTTATGTTTACTTCGTGTTTGTAGGTACTTTCCTAAAGAAATGGTTAAAACTGGGATTTTATGATGAAAAGACTGATATCGAAACTTACAGAGTCATTGCCGATCATCTAAAGCAAACTTGGAGTCAAAATGGTGATTTTGGAGAAGTTTAAGTGCCAAAGCTCAAGCATAAGTTCCTAGGCTCGAGTACAAAGTCAACTGAAACAAGAAAATTAATTAAAGCCACATAGCTCGAGCAGAGATCTCTTGGCTCGAGCCGAGACACAAGGTACTCGAGCCTTTGCAAAAGTGCTACAGTAAAATATGCCTCGAAAGATGAAAAGACGCTTTGGAAGTTCCATGTTGCCAGACCTTGAGCAGAAGTCAAAAAGCTTGAGCCTTTGCCTCAAAAGCTTGAGCCGAAGTCCCAAGACTCGAGCACCAAGTTAAGGTGATCGAGCACTATAAAGAAAAGTTCCAAAAATATTTTAAGTGTTAATGAAAAAGAAGCTTCGAAAAATAATTGAAGAAATTTGACTAAGTATAGAAGTTTGGCTCGAGTACCATCCAAAAGGCTCGAGCCTATGCCCAAAAAGCTCGAGCAGAAGCTTCTTTGCTCGAGCCTTGGTTGTTAAGTCAAAATTTTAAGTTGTAGGATTTGTTCTAATTATGTCGTAATTCATCCCAGACGGGCTCAGAGGATCCCAAAAGACCTAAAGCCCATCCAATCTTTATTAGAAGTCAGTTTTTCTATAAAATGAGGTATAAGGCTATAGAAAATCACTCGATTTTTGGTCCATTTTCTCTCTGAATTTTCTCTTGATTATTCTTAGATTTGGTGGCGGCTTTTAGGGTTGTTGGTGATATTGAAAGTGAAGATCCTCAGCAAAGAAGTGCAATCCATGATGATAAAGACCATAACAACACAGATGATATCTTGCGTCGTTATGGTTAGCTAATTCCTCTCTTAGGGCATTAATGTAACCTGAATCCGAGTATTATGGTTTGATTGTTCTAACTTTGGGAATTTAATAGTTTATGTATCTTGATTGCATGATTATGAGCAATTGACTTAGATCAATTAGTGTTTTAATGAAATAATAATTTTTAAATGATTAATACCTTGTCTTAGATTTAATTATTCTTAAATTGTTTCCCACCTATTCTTAATGTACGAGATGGCGACACAAGGGCTTCTCGACAATAAGAATAGAGATCATGCAATGGTGTTCTAACGTTTTTCATAAATGAATGATTTCATAGGTTATGCCTAGGGAAGACGAGTTATACTACAAAATTAGCTAAAAGTAGGTAGGTAGATAATTCATGCTAACCGAAGATAGGTTATTGTTAGTTGAAATTCATGAAACATCTTTCTTTAAACTCCAATTAAATGAATGCTATTGAATTTAATTCTTTATGATACATAAATTTTTGGAATCCCAAGGTTGAATGGTTGACCATAATACGAGGTTTATGGTGAAATCAATCCCTAAGATCCATTCTTTTTGACCTATTTACTTTATTTTTCTTTTATTTTATTTTATGTTCGTAACACACACAAAATCAAACAATCTTTTATCACCAAATTAAAATCGTATTAATTGGACACTTAATAAACTACACCCTTAATATAGCCCTATCATATAAAGATTCTTGCTATTACGAGTGGTTAATTTTATTCGACAACAATTTTTGGCGCCGTTGCCGGGGACTATGTAACGGTTTATTGAGTTTACAATTAGTGTTATTTTGATTTATAGTCTTCGGACTTTCTGATATCTCACCTTATTTTTTTTTCTTTTCAAGTGTAGGAATCTAGCAGCGAGGACAAAGATGCCAAAGGAAAAGAAGTTTCGGTTTCAGGACTATCTATTAGTTCTTGTTGGTTTTTCTTTACTTCAAAATTTTCTTTTTGTAACTGCTTGTGCAATTGGACATAATGCATGTTAGGTCACCTGTAATACCCCTAATTCTCAAAAGAATATAATGGGAATTTAATTATTTATTTTATGTGCATTTTTAATTGATAAATTGATTATTTGTTTTGTTTGCATTTAAATATGATTATCTGGCTATGTGTTCAATGGTTTTACTTGTTTAATTGGAATTGTGCATTTGTTTTAAATTAAATTGTTTATTTGTTTTACTTTAAGTGTGTAATTGTGATTTAATTTATTTATTTGATTTATTGGTATTTTTAATTACGTATTTTATTTAAATGACTTGTGTGACTTAGTTGGTTTAATTGATATGGTCGTATTTATAGTTTAGGTTTAGGGTTTTATTTTTAGGAGGTTTTGGTCGCCGACTTAAGATAACAGCCTATATATATAGAACAGTATAGTCTACTAGGGTTGAATACCCTATTCACGTAATAGTCTTGAGAGGGAAAATAGAGGCATACAGAATGGTTTTGAGAGATAAACAGAGAAGGTCTTGAGAGATTAAGGAAAGGGAGTTACTCGTGAGAGGAACCAAGAGGCAACAGAGGAGAGAGCAGTGAATAGAGGTGGAGAAAAGTTTAGGGATTCGCCGGAATTTAGAGACGACGTTGAAAGGTTTCAAACCAAAAACCTAAAGGCAAGTTTCATTCTATCTCCTTCCTATAAAATTGTTTTCTGTGCATTCTATATGGTCTCCAGGAATTGATTCAACTTTAAAACAGAAATTTGATGCAAGTTATCAGACTGTAAACTGTTTGTATGTTTAATTAACTGATGTCGGTTTCCTGCATAAACTGTTTTGTTTCCGTTTTAGATTTTTGTCAATTAATTTATATTGGAATGTGAGGAGTTTCTAGGACTATAAGAACTTAAATTGAACCCTAGGAATGTTAAAAATATTTGGGACAAGGATGTTGAACTTCGCCGGAAGCGCAGAAGACAAACGGACGAAGCAGAGAGGGGTTCCCGGGGAAAGAGCCGGCTCCCTAATGGAGGGAGCCGGCTCCCATGATGAGAGAGCTGGCTCTCCATGAGGGAGAGCTGGCTTTGGAAGCCTAAAAGCGGCTCTCCATGAGGGAGAGCTGGCTTTGGAAGCCTAAAAGCCAGCTCCCATGATGGGG